TATTATGAGCCAAAACCATAAAACTTTTAGAAGAAAAAAATAGGTAAATCTTTATTATCTTGGACTAGGCAATGTATTCTTAATTATCACACCAACAGCATGAACAAAAAAGAATAGAGAAATTTGAATTCAACATAATTAAAAACTGTTGTTTTTTAAAGGCCACTGACAAAGATTAGAGAAATAAGAGCCATTGTGCACTGCTGCTGGGAATGTAAAATGGTGCAGTAGCTGTGGAAGTCAGTATGGCAGGTCCTCTAAGAGTTAAGCATGGAATTATCATATGACCCAGTAACACCACTCTTAGGTATGTCCTCAAAAGAACTGAATTCAGGAACTCAAATATATACTTCCGCACAAATTATCATTGCAACAGTACTCACAACAGGTAAAAGGCAGAAGCAACCCAAGTGTCCATGAGCAGATAAATGGATAAACAAAATATGGCAAAAACCTAGGATGGAATTTTATACAGCTATAAAAAAGTGAAGTTATGAAATATGGCACAGCATGGATAATCTTTGAAAATATTATGTTTAAGTAAAATATACTGACACAAAAGGACAAATACTGTATTATTTCACTTACATGAAGTATCTAGTATAGGCAAATTCATAGACGAAAGATATATTAGAGGTTACCAGAGACTGGAGGGAGCCGGAAATGGGATGTTATTGTTTAAGGAGTACAGAGTTCCTGGAGCAATGAAAAGTTTTAGAAATAGATGTTTCTATTAATACCTCTAAATTAAAATGGTTAAAATGGCATATTTTGTTACATACATATCAGATTAAAAAGAAATATTAAAAAAAGAATCTAGACACAGACCTTACACCATTCCTAAATAATGACTAAAAATGGATCACAGAATTAAACATAGAAGGCAAAATTATAAAACTTGGTAAGATGAATTTCATTAAAATTAAAAACTACTCTAAAAGCAACATTGTTAGAGAATGAAGGACAAACCAAACACTGGAAAAAAAATATTTGCAAAAACCTTATTTGACAAAAGCCTGGTATTCTAAATACACAAAGAACTCTTAAAACAGTAAGAAAACTAATAATCTGTCTTAAGTTGTTTTGGGATATTATAACAAATACCAATGGTATAAAGAACAAATATTTACTCATCACAATACTGGAGGCTGGGAAGTCCACGATCAGGGGGCTGGGCTGGCCAATTCAGTTCCTGGTAAGAGCTCTCTTGCTTATTTGCAGATGGCTGCCTTCTTGTGGTATATCTTCACATGACAGAGAGATATCTCTAGTATGCCTTCTTATGAAGGCACTAATCCCATTCATGAAGGCTCCACTTTCACAACCTAATTACCTTCCAAAGGTCTTATCCCTAAATATCAACATATTGGTTATTATGGCTTCAACATACACATTTTGGAGGGATACAAACATTCAGTCTACTGCACAACCCGATTTGAAAAGGGGCAAAAGATTTCACCAAAGGAAATGTATGGATGGCAAATACAAATAAGCATATGAAAAGATTATATCTAATTAAGGTAGGATATATCACTACACACCCATTAGAATGGCTATAATACAAAACACAGACAACACCAAATGTTGGAGAGATCTCTCATTTATTAATGTTAGGAATGCAAAGTGGTATAGCCACTTTGGAATAAAGTTTAGCAGTTTCTTTACAAATATAGTCCTACCACATAATCCAGCTATCATCTTCCTTGGTATTTACCCTAATGTGCTGGAAACTTGTGTCCACAAAAAATGTACATACAAAAGATTATTGAATCTTTATTATTAATTGCCAAAACCTGGAAACAAACAAGATGTCCCTCAATAGGTAAAATGAATAAACATTCTTTGCTACAGCCAAACAATGGAATTATTATTCAGCAAAAGAAAAAAGCGAGCCTTCAAATAACAAAAAAAGCCATGAAAAAACCTTAAATGCATATTGCTATTTCATGATATTCTACAACAGACAAAACTACAGAGACAGCAAAAAGATCAGTAATTGCTAGTGGTTTGTGGAAGGGAAGGGAGGAGCAATTTTTAGAGAAGTGAAACTATTCTCTGTGACATTTTAATGGTGGATAAATAACATTATACATTTGTCAAAATGCACAGAATTGGACAACACAAAGAGGGAACTCTAATGTAAACTATGTTCTTTAGTTAGAAATATATCAATATTTATTCACCACTTGTAATGAATGCAGCACACTAATGAAAGATAGTATTAGGGGAAATTGTAAGAAGGGAGGAGCATATGGGAGCTCTCTATACTTTCTATTCAATTTTTCTGTAAACCTAAAACTGCTTTAAAACTAAAGTCTATTAATTAAAAAATAAACAAGTTTTTTAAAAGAAAGGAGAAATGTGTTATTCAAAATGTTAATGTCATGAAACACAGAGAAATGCTAGCAAGTCCAGATTAAAGAAACCTAAAGAAACATGGCAATTACATGCAAAAGTGATACTAGATTGAATACTATACTGGATGAAAAAATACTTTAAAGGAATCTTATTGAAACAATTGACAAAATTGGGAAAATGGCAATGAATTAGACTAAAATAATCCACCAGCAATGTTCTAAATTTGGTGAATTCAATGCAGCACAGTAAAAGAATCTCCTTATTCTTAAGAAATACACACAAAAATATTTAGACATAAAAGGTCATGTTGTATGTAACTTACTCTCAAATCATTCAGTAAAAGGTTTTATATAGGTACATGCATAAAGAAGAAGAGAGAGAACAAAAATGATAAAGCAATAGGTTGACTAGTGGCCTCTCAAAATGCATGTCTACCCAGAACCTGTGAATGTTACCTTATCTGGACATAGGTTTCTTCCAGAATAGCCAAGTTAAAATGAGGTTATACTGGATTAGGGATATTTGGAAGCACGCGCGCACACGCGCAAAAGTCTGGTGAAGATGGAGGTAGAGATTGCTGTTATGCTGCCACAAGCCAAGGAAAATCAAAGACTGCCAACAAGCACCAGAAACTGGAAAGAGGCAAGAGGCAAGGAAGAATCCTTCTAGAGCCTCAGGAAGGAAACAATATTGTCAAAGCCTTGATTTTGGAATTCTAGCTCCCAGAACTGTGAGAAAATAAATTTCTGTTGTTCTAAGCCACCTAGTTTGTGGTACTTTGTTATAGAAGTGCTATGAAAACTAGTATAGCAAGTAATAGGTGAATCTGGGTGAAAGGTATATGGGTGTTTTTTGTACTACTCATGCAAAGTTTTTTGTCCTCTTAACAGTCTTCCTCGGAACAAAAGCATTTAACTTTGAAGCAAAGTATTTTTGTAAGTTTGAAATTATTTCTCAAAAGGTTAAAGAAGAATTCAATAAGGCCAAGGACTTTTATAGACATTTTTCCAAATAAGAGAGACATATGGCCAATAAGTACTTAAAAAGATGCTCAAAATCACTACTCATGAGGGAAATGCAAATCAAAACCACAATAAGATACCACATCCCATCCATTAGGATAGCTATCATTATTAGAAAGAAAGAAAGAACGAAAGGAAAGGAAGGAAAAGAAGGAAAGGAAGGAAGGAAGGAAGGAAGGAAGGAAGGAAGGAAGGAAGGAAGGAAGGAAGGAAGGAAGGAAGGAAGGAAGGAAGGAAGGAAGGAAGGAAGGAAGGAAGGAAGGAAGGAGAGAGAGAAAGAAAGAAAAAAGAAAGAGAAAAGGAAGGAAAGAAGGAATGATGGAAGGAAAAGAAAAGATGACAAATGTTGGTGAGGATAAAGAGAAACTGGGACCCTAGTTCACTGCTGATAGAAATGTTAAGTAACACATCCACTATGGAAAGTGGTATGCCATTTCTCAAAATTAAACAGAGAATTACACTATGATCCAGCAACTCCACTTCTGTGTATATATCCAAAAGAAGTGAAAGCAGAGACTCAAACAGACATGTGTACACCCGTGTTCACAGCAGCCTTATTCACAATAGCCAAAAGGTGAAAGCAACCCAAGTGTCCATTGACAGATGGGTGGATACAACAGTATGTGCATATACATAGAATATTATGAATATTATTCAGCCTTAAAGAAGAAGGAAATCTGACATACACTACAACATAGATGAATCTTGTGGACATAATGTTAAGGGAAAAAAGCTAGTCACGTATTCCACTTATACCAGGTACCTAGAATAGTCAAATTCAGAGACAGAAAGTAGAATGGCAGCTGCCAAGAAGTGGTGGTGGGAGGAGGGAAATGGGCGGTTATTGTTTATTAGCTAGAATGTTTCAGTTCTGGAGATGGACAGTGGTGATGATTGGATAACAATGTGAATGTCCTTAATGTCATTGAATGTAACACTTAAAAAAGGTTAAAATGGTCAATTTTATGTTATCTATATTTTACTACAAAATATACAAGATTATCATATATGTCTGGAAGAGGGGTAGCCTTGACAAATTGATTTTAAAATTTACATGGAAATTCCAAGTGTCAATAATAGCTAAAAACTGCTGAAAAACAAGGTGAGAGAAGCAACTCTTAACAGATATCAAGACTTACCTAAACCTGCCCTGGCTGGTGTGGCTCAGTGAATTGAGCACCAGCCTGTGAACCAGAAAGTCGCAGGTTCAACTCCTGATCAGGGCACTTGCCTGGGTTGTGGACCAGGTCCCCAGCTGGCAGTGTGTGAGAGGCAACCAATCGATGTTTCTCTTACACGTTTCTCTCCCTCTCTTTCTCCCTCCCTTCTCTCTCCTTAAAAATAAATAAAATCTTAAAAAAAAACTTACTGAAACCTATAGTAACTGAAATAGTGTGATAAGGAAGTAAAGAACACTTCTATAGACTCACCGCCATTAGTATCCATCTACCAGGATTTTGCACCCACCTCTCTATCTAAGGCCAACCCACCTATTTGTGCAACAGATCCTATCCCTTCTTTCCTTCTCAAAGACTTTATTGAAGCAACTCTCCCATCTAGTAGCATGTATTTATTCTTAAATAAACTAAGGGTAATTATTTAGAAAATTAAAATACTCACCTTTTTTAAATTTATGTATAGGGAGTTTCTTAAGTTGATCTTTACGAAGTCTGTTTCTTCTAGCTCTATGTCTATCCTGGACAAATTTTGTGATCTAAAAATAAGAGGAAAAAGGAATCATATATTAAACATTAAGTAAAGATGGCCATTAAAATATCAAATATCTTTTAAGTTTCTGGATAGCTGCTGAAAATGACTTTAATTTCTTTTAATCCTAATAGCAATACTAATTAAAACATTAAACTACATTAGTAATTAATTACCCTATTAAATTATCCTTTGAATTTTTATTCATTGATCTAAATTATCCTTAATTTATTCTGATACAAACATAAATAACGTATTTGTTTGAAAAAACACAAATGGTAAGTTGTAGGTTACAAAGAAGATGAAGAATGGGAGAGTGAAATTCCTGTAATTTATAAACTAAAAAATTCGGTGAAGATGTGGAGAAAGGGGAACCCTCCTACACTGTAGTATGGAGTTACCTCAAAAAATTAAAAGTGGAATTGCCTAATGTCCCAGTGATTCCACTGCTGGGAATTTATCCAAAGAAACCCAAAACACTAATTCAAAAAAACGTAAGCACCGTATGTTTATTGTGTAATATTTATAACAGCCAAGATTTGGAGGCAGCCCAAGTGACCATCAATAGATGAGTGGATTAAAAAAAAAAAACTATGGGACATTTACACAATGGAATACTACTCAGCTGTAAAAAAAGAAAAAAATTTTACCCTGTGCTATAGCACTGATGAACTTGGGGAACATTGTGCTAAGTAAAAGAAGCCAGTCAGAGAAAGACAAATACAATATGATTTCACTCATATGTGGAATCTAATGAACAAACTGAATTAACAAGCAAAATAGAGACAGGCTCATAGATAGAACAGGTGGATAGCTCTGGAGAGGGGGTTGGGGGTGGAGGGACCAAGCAAAAAAGAAAAATAACTCATGGACACAGACAACAGTGTGATGATTGCATGGGGAAGGGGTAGGTAGAGTTGGAAGAAGTATAAGGGGAATAAATGCTAATAAAAAAATATAGTAACAATACATTAAAAAATTTACTTAGGACACAATAGAAAAAAATAAAAATAAAAAAACTAAAAGAATTTTCAAACACATACTTATTAGCCATTGTACTTTCAGTTCTAGCAGAAAAATATATAGCATCTTTACTACAAATACTCAGAAATGCTAAATAACATACAAAAGATTTTTAACTATAAATTACTATGTTTGCACAAATAAAAAGGAAGTCCACAGGGCTAGACCCAAATGCCAAAGCAACATCCATCCATAAAAGAAAATTTGACAAATTTACATCAATGTAAAGTACTTCTGTCCTTAAATGACATGGTTAAAAGATAAAAAAGAAGTCACACACTGGGAAAAAATATCTGCAAACTGCATATCTGACAAAGGATTTTTATCCAGAGTATAAAAATAACTCAAAACTCAATACAAAAAGAAGCAACCCAATAGAAAAAAATGGGCAAAATATTTGACTATAAGGATGACAACTAATCACTTAAAGAGATGCTCAACAAATTAGTCAAGAGGAAACAAAAATTAAAATCACAAATACCACCACACACCTATTAGAATGACTAAAATGAGAAAGACTGACTATACCAAGTGTTGCCAAGAAAGCAGAGAAAGTGGCACTCTGGTACACTCACAGCAGGACTGTAAAATGGTGCCACCATGTTGAAAACCAGTCTGGTGGTCTCTCACAAATTTAAACACACATTTACCATATGACTCAATCATCCCACTCCTCCTTATATTTACCCAATAGAAATAAAGGTATGTACCATACAAACACTCCTATACAAAAGTGCATGTCCAAAGCTCATGTCAGCTTTATATGTAAGAGTCAAAAATAATAAACAACCCATCAACCCATTATTATTATTAAAAAATAATGCCCATCAATAGGTAAACAGGTAAACAAAACAGTGGTATGTCCATGCAATGGAATATAATTCAGCTATAAAAAATAAATAAGCAATGTACTCAATAATATTTATGAGTTTCATAATAATTATCCTGAGAGAAAAAAGGTGCATACATAAGAGTACATAATTTATGATTCCATGTATATAAAGTTGTAGAAAATCTATACTGACCCAAAAAGCAGATCTGTGGTTGCCTAGGGTTGGGGATGAGTGGGATATTAAGGGGAAATTGGAAGGGGTTAGAGGAAGGGATTACCAAGGAGCATAAGAAACATTTTGAGCTCATCAATATTTCATCATCTTGATTCTGGTGGTGGCTTTACAGATTAGACATATGTTAAAAACTGGCCAAATGATATAATTTAAATATGTGAGGTTATTATACCTTAATCATACATCAATAAAATTGAAGCTAATATACACAGGGTGGGGCAAAAGTAGGATTAAAAGTTGTTCATATGGAAAATACAGTAATTAATAATTAATAATACAAGAAGCTCTTTTGTTTTGCATACTCACAACTATAAACCTACTTTTGCCCCACCCTATATTTGAAAAAAAAAAACAAACTTTTAAACATAGTGAAAAAAAGACTAAACAAAAACAAATGCACAAGCTCAAAGAAAAGTACACATATGGAACTTGGCACAACCTAATTCTTTTTACATACATGGGGAATGTTTATAAGAGATAACCAAAAAGCAAGTCTTTGGAAATAACCAAATAATCCATTACATACAATGTTTCATGACCACAATGCAACTGAATTAGAAGTCAATGAGGAAAAAAAGATACAGGAAAAATATGTATTTTGAACAGTTAAAATAATTCATAAGTCACAGAAGAAATCACAACAGATTTGAGTTTCTGAGGGGCTTTGATAGTCGGCATACCTCTTCACCTATTGCATTCTAAATAGCTTGAGAAATAAGATGATGAGAGACAAGTGCAATACCTAATTCAGTGGAGAAAGAGATAGAACTTTTTACTGAACCACAGAATTAGATGGCCTTACCCACCCAAATGTACACAAAGACAACTCTGGAATGGAGAAGGCTTTCTCTTCACCCTCCCCTAGAATTGTATTATCAGTTCTGGAGGAGATGAAAACAGGTTGGTCCCAAGAGAAAGGCAGAAGTGAATCAAGTACACCCTAATTTATTCTTCCCCAAGGTACCACACAAATAAGATCCTTCATCTTCCCTAAGACCAACTGAGTGAAAGGGTAGAGATAGGCTAGGACTTACAGTACTTGAGTTCCCACTTCACACAGATGGAAACATCAGAGTCATAAAGAAACATATGTAAAACAATGAAAAAATTTTTAACAAACTATTAAAATAAAAATATTCCTTATCAAAATTTGAGTTACAGCTAATGTGACTGTTAAAAGAAAATTTATAACCTAACTGTATATACTAGCAAGAAAAAAATTTCAAAGCATTCAACTGAACAAGCCAGAAAAAGAAAATCAATATATACACACAAAATAGAAGAAAATAAATAATGGTAAGAACAGATATTCATGAGATAAATAAAAAGGAAAGACTTTAGAATATAAGTTCAACTGGAATGTATGTTGCTTGATATCACAGAGTTTTACCTATCTGTTCAATGATGAATCTTTAGACCCTAGAGTAGTGCCTTATTCATTCTAGGTGCAAAATAAATATTTTTTGAATGAAAAGAAAAAACCCCTCAATGTTACTTCTTTGAAAGGCAAAACAGATAAACTAGCAATGCTGTGTAAGACACAGATGGGTATGAAGAGAACTCAGTCCACATACAGTAGAAATTCTCTTCAAGTTGCTATATGAGTACATAAATATTATAAATCACTTTTTGCTACTGTATTTTATAACAGACAAAATTTCCTAGAAATATAATAAAGAAGTATAAAGTGTAAAGAAGTATTAGTATAAAGAAGTAGACAACCATCTGAATGTCTGGCAACTATGAAATGTTCAGTAGACCTAGATGATTTTATAGGCCAAAAGGCAAGTCACAGATGATTCCAATTTCAGAAAAAAATATTTTAGAAATGGAAAATAAAAGAAAGCTTTAATTTTTCTGAACTAGTTTTATTGTGTCTAATTATATTTATGTTATTTAAAACACTGGGAAATATACATCATCAGTGACATGTGCAGAGATCACATACCCCCTGACAGGGTATAATGAAAAGGGCATTTCACCTCTGATATTCTTTCTAAAAACCCATTAATCCAGTCTAATCATAAGAAAAACATCAGATTGAGAGATATTATATAGGATAACTGGCTAAGGTTTTTAAGACTGTCAAGGTCATGAAAAATAAGGACAGACTGAGAAACTGTCATAGATCAGAGGACAGGGAAAATGTGATAACTACATACGGTGGGGTACTCTAGACTGGGCAGGTTGACGGAAAAACCAGTGAAGTCCATACAAAGTCTGGGTTTGAACTACTGGTAATGTACCAATATCAGTTTCCTAGTTTTGTCAAGTGTACAATGATAATGTAAAATGTTAACAATGGCTAACCTAGACAAGAAATGTACAGAAACTCTCTTTTGCAATTTTTCTATAAATCTTCATGTTATTTCAAAATTACTGAATAAAACTTATTCCAAAATTGTTGAATAAAAATCAGCCCTGGCTGGTGTGACTCAGTGGATTGAGTATCAGCCTGTGAACCAAAGGGTCACTGGTTTGATTCCCAGTCAGGGCATATGCCTGGGTTGTGGACCAGGTCCCTGGTATGGGGCACACTAGAGACAACCACACACTGATGTTTCTCTCCCTCTCTTTCCCTTTCCCTTCCCTTCTCTCTAAAAATAAAGAAATAAAATATTTTTAAAAATCAATAATATTCTTATAACCAAGTAATAACCAATTAGGAAATGCAATTTCAAAAAAGTCTAACAAAATGCACAAATAAATGAAAAGGAACGCCAAAGCATCATGGAAAGACTATACATTTCAAAGATATCATTTAATTTTTATTTTTTTATTATATTACTTATCTTTTTTATTTTTAATATATTTAATTGATTATGCCATTACAGTTCTATTTCCCCCCTTCATTCCCCTCCACCCTGCACACCCACCCCCCCACCATTCCCCCCCTTTAGTTTATGACCATGTGTCTCAAATTCTTTAGATTCTGTATTTCCCCTGCTATTCTTGCCCCCCCCATCTATTTTCTACCTACCGTCTATGCTACGTATTCTCTGTACCTTCTCTCCACTTCTCCTCCTCCCACTCTCCTGTTGCTAACCCTCCATGAGATCTTCATTCCTATGGTTCACTCCTGATCTAGCTGTCCTCTTAGTTTGCTTTTGTTTTAGGTGTGGTTGTTAATAACTGTGAGTTTGCTGTCCTTTCACTGTTCATCTTTGTTATCTTCTTTTTCTTAGGTAAGTCCCTTTCACATTTCATATAATAAGGGTTTGGTGATGATGAACTCCTTGAATTTGTTCTTATCTGAGAAGCACTTTATCTGCCCTTCCATTCTAAATGAAAACTTTGCTGGATAGATCAATCTTGGTTGTAGGTCTTTTGTTTTCATGACTTGGAATACTTCTTTCCAGCCCCTTCTTGCCTGTAAGGTCTCTTTTGAGAAATCTGCTGACAGTCTGATGGGAACTCCTTTGTAGGTAACTGTCTTCTTTCCTCTTGCTGCTTTTAAAATTCTCTCTTTATCTTTAATCTTGGGTAATTTAATAATGATGTGCCTTGGTGTGTTCCTTCTTGGGTCCAACTTCTTTGGGACTCTCTGAGCTTCCTGGACTTCCTGGAAGTCTATTTCCTTTGCTAGATTGGGGAAGTTCTCCTTTATTATTTGTCCAAATAAGTGTTCCACTTGTGGCTGTTCCTCTTCCCCTTCTGGTACCCCTATAATTCAGATGTTGGAACGTTTAAAGATGTCCTGAAGGTTTCTAAGCCTCTCATTTTTTTTTATTCTTGTTTCTTCATCTTTTTCTGTTTGGTCATTTTTTTATTCCTTCTGGTCCACTCCATTGATTTGAGTCCCAGTTTCCTTTCCATTACTACTGGTTTCCTGTGCATTTCCCTTCGTTTCAATTAGTTTAGCCTTTATATGTTCCTCTAATTTGTGGCTAAAATCAACAAGTTCTGTGAGCATCCTGATCACCAGTGTTTTGAACTGTGCATCTGAAAGTTTGGCTATTTCTTCGTTGCTTAGAGTTATGGGCTCTGGGGCTTTGAGATCTTCTTAAGCCATAATGTTTTGCTCTGTTCGCACCTGTTACAAATGAGGAGTGGAGCCTTAGTTGTTTACCAGGGCAGGGCCACTCAGGTGCTGATGCAGGTCCTCCTGCCACTCAGGTTTGTGATGCTGTATGTGGGGGTGGAGTCAGAGAGGAACAATAGCGGTCCCCTCTGCTGCTTCCCGCCGCTGGGGCCTGCACAGTCTGTTTCACTACTTGCTCCTTCCCTGGTTTATCTGCGCGCAAATGTGTGACCAAGGTCAGCCCTCAGTGGGACCGCCCACTACTCCTCAACCTGGGATCCGCCCACAGCTGCCTGCACACCTGGGTCACTCTGGTGGACCTTTCCTGCCCGCCCCCGCTCTGCTGCTAGCTCTGCCTCTCTTACTGGTTTGGCTGAAGGGTTCGTTGTTGTCAGACTTCAGAATAGTTCAATTTTCTGTGGTTTGGCTGCTTTTTTCTTGCTAAAACTTTGTTGTTTTTAAACTTGGTTGTGTGAGAAGGCACAATGATTCCACCTACGCCCCCATCTTGGTGGAAGTATATTCACCATTTAATTTTTAAATTAATTTATAAACTCAGTATAATAATAAACTCATTAGAGGTTGATATGTTCTTTATCAAAAATAAAAAGAACAGTGGGACTGTTTTAATTCTTTATAAATCTCTTTAAATATTTATCTTTATAGAATACAGAGGGATTCTCATAATCTGCTTTTGTCTTCAATTTGTTTTCATACCACATACCATATAGCCTCTAGAAACCTTCACTCTAAACCCTGAATGACAGTGACACAGAAAAATAGTATCTTAGCATTATTATGAAAATAATTCTGACCCTGCAGACCCACTGCGAGTCCTGGAGCCATAGCTTGGTCAGCACTGTTCTGGAGAGAAAATGGACCGTTCCCCTTAACGTTAAGCCCTCAGGCTATTTTTAATGTACATTTTAATATGAAAATTTTCATATACAGAGAAGAGTTGAAAGAATTTTTATAATAAATACCCATATAGACACTACCTAGACACTATAATTAACATTTTACTCTGCTACTTTTTATTACATATCTATCCATCCCTCTATCCACTGATCAATCTTTTTCTCTTAATTTTTTCCAAAGTGAGTTTCAAGTATCAGTATACTTACCTCAAAATACTTCACCATGTATATCACTACTTAGAATTTAGTATTTTTTTTTAATTCTCTTTTCTTTTTAAGTAAAATTTACATACAATGAAATGCACAAAACTTTAAATATACAATTTGGTGATTCAGGCATTAGAACCGCCCAAATCTCTCAAGATAAAGAACATGATTCACACCCCAGAGAGTTCCCTCAGACACATTCCAGTAAATCCCTCACCCAGCCCTAGCCCCCCAGAAGCAATCACTGCTCTGATTTTTTCTACCCAGATTATCTTTGCCTTTTCAAGAAACTGTTACATAAATGGACTCATACAAAAAGCCTTAATGTAATTCTTCTCTTAATACAATGTTTTTTAGAGCCATTTATAGTATTTTTAGAAAGTATTTAAAATCAATTTACCTACCATGAAAATGACTATCAAGATGAGACAGATGCCCACTATGATAAGGAAGGGAATTAGGTAGTATTCCAGAGGAAGGCTAAATTCTGGAACTAAGATAATGTGGCCCCTGGAAGAAAACAAGAATTAATAAATGAAAAAGACTGAGTTGCAAAATTATGATGCTAATCAAAGTCAAATATATTTTCAAAAAGCATTTAGACATTACAATTCAATCCACTAGACACATCACATTTTCTAATTTATAATTTCCAATAACTTAAGGGATGATTTTTCCATTTTAAGTCTATTTTACATATTTGCCAAATTACTTGTCCATATAATTTTAAAAAGCTTTTAGACTGAGTAGTGGAATCAGCCAATCAATAATTACTGTATCCATCCTGGAAGTACATTATTTACTGAATTTAGTAACCTGGACAAAAGTGTGCATATTTTATAGGCAAAATCAACATTAAAATAATGGCAATACCTTAGGTGGTATGTCAATAACAACCCCACCTCAACCAGATTACTGTTCATCAGTTTCCTCTCTGGAAAAGCCACCAACAATAAAAATATGCCCCCTCCTCCCTACAGGCTTTCATAAACCTGTTGTACCAGAGACAATGGACATGGCCCCTGTACTCTACATTATCTGTGAGACATGGAATGGAAAACTGGTAAAGGAATTGTAGCTTCAAAGCTCCAGGAGATGTAGCTTTCTCTCTATTTTCCATCTTCTCCACTGCTTCCCCGGGGGAAAAAAAACTACAAAAATACATATTTTGTCAGGGGAGAGGTGATGAATGCTACATGCCTTATTTCCCTTCATTATTAACATATTATTAGTTACTGTAATATTACTATTATAAAAATTGAAAGGGACTCACGAAATTAATCTGTGCTCAGAGTAGGCACACTATTTGAGTTGTGTGAGCAAATTTTACAAGACAGCAAAACCCTGCATTAGAAAATATCCTCAGTCTAGGAAAGGGTCTGCGTACTGGTCAGTAACATGACTGATTTCTCTGTTGTACTTCTGTGCTACTCAACTAATACAGTGTCAGCAACACTACTTTGTTATCCATGGCTCAGTGATTCATTTAGGCAGCGAAGCCAGGTACTTCGTAACACAAGGATTAAACACAAAATAAAAATTCTCAATTTTATAAAAGAAAATAAAAATAGGTCAACTCCTCCCCTGATATAGAGGTGCTTAGTACACCACAGTACTTAGGAAAAATACCATGAAAGTAAATTATTTCCATTTCAAAGTGACTTTTTAAAATCCTTGCCCATTTATTGATTTTAGAGAGAGGGGAAGAAGGAGGGAAGGGGGAGGAGGAGTGCAGAGAGAAACATGGATTTGTTGTTCTACTCATTTGTGTATTCACTGGTTGATTCTTGTATGTGCCCTGACCAGGGACTGAATCCACAACCTTGGTATATGGGGATGACAATTTAACCAACTGAGCTAACCTCATTGGCTGAACAAATAAAAGGACATACCATGTTCTTGGATAAGGAGATTTAACATCCTAAAAGTGCCAATTCTCCCTAAATTAATTTATAAGTAAAATGTAATTTTAATGAAAATACCATCAGGTTTTTCTGGGGCTACACAATTGCTTCTGAAAGTTCTTCGGAAGGAGAAATCCAAACCCTCACAGACAGCTGGTGCACGTACTCTGGAAAGCAGTCTAGCTTTACTTCTATTTGCTCTGTCTGAGCCTGCAGATTCATCCCTGTCCAGTTCATACCAGATCAATTTGTATTTGAAAAAGGAGATATTTAAACAGCTTTAGTATCTTACACACAACCTCCACGTGAACCCCTAAATATAATACACTCCATGAGCTCTGCAGTTAAGATGGGATCATTGAAGCGGAGTCCTAAGCAGGACCCAGGAAATAGTATTTTATTCTCCTTTCCATGAGTTTCCAGACTAATTTCAAACCAGGTGTCTCAGTCTAAACTTTGTTACAATTACTCTAATCTCCCAATCCCTATGCTTGATACATGAGATATTTGTCTTGCTGTCTGTTTTCATACCAACCCCCCATCTTGGGTCAAACAGCTATCTCCACACTACTGAACCTCAATGGATATACAACCACACATCAAAGCCTTTCTTCCTGTAAAGTAACAACCACATCCCAAAGTCTTCCTATAAATCAACTTTCCAGGCAATGACCTGTGATCAGCCCTACTACGGGATACCCTCACTTTTTCGGACAACTACTGGTCTGAACTTGCCCCTTTCAGAAAAAGCTCACAACCGCCTCACCAAACATCCCACATTCTGCACTAGACAGGCCCATACCTCAGCATCTGTGCCACAACCTGTTCTGCTGCCAGCACAGTGCTCTTTGTTGAAGAATGCTCAAGGTCGCACACTAGCAGTTAAATTTCACCAGCATTTACTGACTATGCTGCCATCGTACCTGATCCTAGGGGCAAAATATAAACAAATGGAGTCCCTACACATGAGAGAGAATACAGAAAGTTTGGAGTTGAAAGAAACAGGATTCTTTGTCCATGAGAATTAAATGACCCATAAAGGCCACAGCCCAGCAATATCTCCAGTTCACCTTGCTACTCAGTACAATAAAAAACAATTCTTTCCTCTGCCCACAATTGTTAAAAGAAACATACATTAAAGCTACAAGCAGAACTATTTCTTACCTGTCTGATTAGGGTAAATCTAAAAATCTGACAACATAATTTGTTGACGACTCTTCAGGAAAAGAGACACTGTCATATACTGCTGGCATAACCCTATGGATGAGAGTTTGCCAATATCTAGCAACATCTGACCTAGCATTTGTACTTCTAGAAATCTATTCCAAAGATAAACCAGCAAAAACATGAAAAGGCTTCTACATAAGGTTATTTACTAGAGCACAACTTAACAGCAGAAGGCTGTAAATAATTCCAGTGTTCATCAACAGGGAGCTAGCAGCTAATGGAGTTCCATGCCTCTATCATAAAGAAATGAAAACTCTATCTTCTCATATGGTATGATCTCCAGGCCATACTGTTAATTGAAGAAAAACAAAATGGGAAACAGTGTTTATGTATTGAGGATGGAAGACAGAGAAGAGATAGGTATTTGTTTACATTAAAAAAAGATAATTAAAGAATAAACTAAAAACTTTAAAAAATTATTACTTTAAGGTAAGGGTAGAACAGGAGGGACAAGGTGAATAACACATATAAGCTGGACATCTCTAGATAAACACTGTCTTATTGGTTACGATTTTAAATTTATATAGAATTATAAAAGTCATAGTGCATATGGAAACACAATCCCTAAAACCTAAAAGCAAAATAATTCAACTACGGTTGTGTTTCCAGTTGACAGCACATGCATAGGAATTATTTCATGTCTTTAAAATATAATTTGACTTTACATCCTATGATATACCTTAAGCAGAGAAAAAACTGTTTGGTTTTTTTTAATCCTCACCCAGGTACATGTTCATTAATCTTAGAGAGAGAGATGAGAGAGAAAGAGAGAAACATTGATTGGTGGCTTTCTATATGCACCCCAACCAGGGACTGTACCAGCAAACACAAGTATGTGCCCTGACTGGGAATTGAACCCACACCCTTCTGGTGGACAGGACAGTGCTCCGACCAACGAAGCACCTGGCCAGGACAAGAACTGTTTTTTATAGATGTTTGTAGTAGTGTTGGTATTGTTCTTCTGAGTCTATTTTGTGTGTATTATGTAATTCAAAAAGAAAAGAAATAATTATATTGGTGTCTTTGAGCACGGAAAAACACAGATGTGAGATCAACAAAGCCCTGAATCTGAATCAGAAGTAACAGTACGCATTTGACAATTTATTGTGTCTTTAGAAGCCAGTGTGTTGCTTAGCTCTGTGCACTGAAAAGCCCTAGAAATAGTGACAAACATACGAGCAATGATCCCCCCTGGTCTTTAAATACCATAACCAATGAAAAGGAACCAGAACTTGAAGAAATGACTGATCCCAGGTTAGGGGAAGGAAAAGAAGAAAACAGGCCTGGAACATCTCCTACACCAAAAGAGGGAGCATGCAAAAGTTCCTAGATGCCTGTCAAAGAAATCAGGATGAAACTTGAAGTGCGCAATGGAACAATGTGAACATCAATAAAGATAATAACAACAATGGACTGAAATAGGTTTGGACTCATGAGTTTGCTATAATACTTATAGCAAATCTATATATTAAATCATCTTTGGAAGATGCTAGCAAACCAAGTCATTTCAAAAAACAGTGAAGGGAAAGAATCAAGTGTTTATCCTGTCTTTCCTAAAGACATTGTATGTCAAGGTAATCCAATAATTGATATGGTACAAGCCATCTTTAGAGAAGGATTTTAACTAATAAATGAAGGAGAAATTATAAAATTCAATTACTTGCACCACAAAGATAGATCCAAATATTGTTTCTGGTATTACATGTTTCATATGTAATGAAACATATAATACCATATATAAAGCATTCTTGCCTTCCCTATTCTTCCAGCCCCTGAATAACTCTAATTGGAACAAACCTCAACATCTAATGAGCAATTTATAGGGAAAATAAGTAACAAAGAAATATTCTAGATAATACCCAAGGATTCAATCAGGAAAGTCCAGACTGTAGTAAATTCACAGGACAAATTAAAAAAAATTAAGGCATAAGCACTATTGCAGTATATGGACATTATTTAGAATATTAAAAATACTTTTTAAAGGATTTCAAACAGTTGGAAAAATCTGAAGACCCAATGTTTTGAAAAGATATATCACATTTTGTCATGTATTATGTGCACTTTTTTGCCCAAATCTTTTAGGAAAAAATAATAGATGGGTAGCACTATATGTGAGTAGTACTAATTCTGTATCTATATAAATGTTTTTAATTCTTTTATTTATGCTTATGCATTAAAAGTATAACTCTAGAAAGCAATAATGATATTCATATGCAAAATATCCTGGAATATGAAAATCAGTTTTGTTTCTAAATATAAATAAATAAGTTAAAAAGTGAATTAAAAAATTAATTTTTCCCCTGAAAGTATTCACCAAAAATGTGGGTGCGTGTTATACACTGGAGCACACTGTATATGGCAAAATACAGTAATGATGATAATATGGTTATATTTCTCTCTATAACCTTATCTTTTAGTGATCCATTCTGAGATATGTACAGGTAAAATGATGGGGTATCTGGGACTTGCTTCAAAATGATCATGACGAGGGGAAGAAAGGGAGGTGAGATGGGCCAGAGGGTGAACAGTCCAAACAAAATTGGTCCTAAGTTGGTAATTTGAAACTGAATGATGAGACACAGTATAGTCATCTCTCTTCTTTTAAATATCTTTGAAAGTTACCATAACAAAAAAGCAGGATAAATTAATGAGTGGGTAAGTAGTCAGGTTGGCAGGCCAGCTGATAGATGTATGAGGCAGATCTGTATGTACAAGTCTACAGTCCCTCAAGCACAATTCTGAAACCTAAAAAAACTTTAAAAACAAGATCTGCAATTCATTTATAGTCAGTCTGAACTGAACGAACATAAAAAAATATTTATACACTCACAGAAGCTATTTAAGAGTGAGCAAAAGTAGGTTTACAGTTGTGAGTACATAAAACAGTTTATCTTCTGTTATTTATTAATCTGTATTTTTCTATATGAACTGTAAACCTACTTTTGCCCACCTATGTATATAATTTGTTTGATTATGAGATGCTGCCGAAAATCCTATTGGGAAATGTTACTTAACTTTTAAAAAATTAAAAAGTTTTGAAGTCCACAATACATCTGACCCTAAGAGCTGGTATGAGGAAAAAAGTAGACTTGCATTACCATGGAAAGGCTCTAAATATTAAGTAAAGCTCATTACACAATACTATGTGTTTTACAGTTCTATTTTATGAACACGTTATCACTAATTAATTTTGAGTATTCAAATATGGGGGACAATTAAAATCTTTCTGTTGTTAGAGAATGGCATAATAAAGAAATTTCATTTAAATGCTTTATATTTGTGAATTGTTGCTTATTTTACCGGCATGTATGTATTACTTTTCAATTTAAAAATGTATGATTTTATAACTAAAAACAAGACTCTTTTAAAATGTATAGATTTTTTTTCTAAACGAGGAAACAATACTGAGGTAAAGCAAGTATCAGTTCTCCTTCATTAGCTACAGCTACACAAACATGGCTGACACAACAGCATCTTGATAAACTGTTTCTTAATGTTTAACTTTTTTATTTATTCATTTTTTAGAGAAAGAAGGGGGAAAGAGAGAGAAACATCAATTTATTGTTCCACTTATTTATGCATTCATTGGTTGATTCTTGTATGTGCCCTGACCAGGGATCAAACACACAACCTTGGCATATCGGGAAGATGTTCTAACCAACTGAGCTACCTGGCCAGGGCTTGATTAACTATTTTTAATACAACACCCTAAATTACACCCCCTAACTGAATAAAGATGTTCTGAGCATATAATATGTGAACAGTATTTTAAGTATCTAAAGTATATAGGAAAATGGCAAAAACAGAAAATCTTTTCTTTTTATGGATTTTTGAACTCAAGTATTCATGGATGTATTTCCCTTAAGTAATTAGAATTGAATCTCATGGTACCAGTTTCCTCTTTTAGAAAATCTAGATAGAGATTATAATAACGTTTAGAGTGTTGTGAGATATTCTTACAACAAATGCCTTGGTTTCATGAGTGCCTGGCACTTGCCAAATACTCAGAAAATAGGACTGCTTTTATTATTAATATGGTTGTTATTGTTCTTCTTGGTCAAAAGCCTGTCCCTGCCCACTGTGTTTTGGGACCATAGGAGACAGCTGTGCCTTAAGTTAGTTTCAGTCTATACGTTACCATGATAATGAGATTTGGAGGGAAAATTCCATGGAGAAGTTTTCATTCCAAATCAAATTTTTAAACTTGCAAACAAACCTTTTGTCTCTGTAAAAGTTAGTCACAATACTGTATTGTACTCTGTATTTATAAAATGAAAAACTTACTAAAGTACAAATACATCTTAATGAAAGGCATCATATAAATTAAATTATATTGTTTCTAAATACCAGTAGTTTGATTAAACCATAAGTTTAAGTTTTTTTAATCTTTTTGCCATATAGGTGCCTTAAATCTCTCTATCATGAAGATATTTTTAACATGTAACTATACACAGAGAAAATAGTACAAAAACATTACAACTTAAGAGATAATGTAGTGCAATAGAATATTCTAAAACACAACCTCAATTGCAACTAATATTATCTCATTTTACCCTAATATAAAAAATTTTTACTCTACATTATTATTTTTTATATCCATTACTTACCCTCTTTCATATGTGAATTCATCCTTCAGGGAATTAGCTGATGATTCTCCAATAAAGACAGATGGTATGTCAATTTTCTTTAACAGACCAACTATATAAAACAATAATAAAATTATTTTTAGCTAACATTTTGCACATATACATTATCATGCTAGTTCAACAGTTCTATGAGATTGGGATATAATTATTTTTTATATTTCCATTCAATTTATCCTTAATAGACATAATTAACTATTAGAAAAAGAAGAAGAGAAATTTTAAGCTTTCTTTCCATACTTAATTCCTAAATGAGAAAGTGAAAAAGTTTTTTTTTTTTTACATACCCATTCCCAGTAGAGGTACAAGCCTAAGAATGTTTAAAAAGACCACTTCACAACAGTCTGAAAAATGATACCACACATGGATGGCTTTCCAGAGTGAAATGGCTGGCAAGAGTTGAAACAGGACAAGAGAGCTAAGTGAATTTCTACTTCCTCCTAACCCTGGAGTTCCTGGTAAAGTTTTGTGTTTTGATGGGTATCTTAAGAAATTTGACTCACAACTGTATTGCAAAACCAAAATCAAATGCCAAAAAAAAACCTTTGTAAAAATTACCCATTTCTCAAGAAGAGAAATAAAAACAATCCTCTTAATATTACTATAGAAAAAGCAGCCATATTTTCAGCTGTGAGTTAATTGAATAGATTTGAGTAACTGAATAGACTTTAAAGAAAGCTCATTTGTTTTCTTGTTGTATTTTCACAGTAACTTTGTTCTCCATTTCTTTAAAAATACATACTCATTATTTATTTTAAAAAGGGTGGAGTGTTCGTTATTTATTTTAAAAAGGGTGGAGGATACAAGTAAAGAATAACAAACAGAACATAGCCATAACCCTTTCCACCCAAAGACATAGGTTTTATTTCTAACCGCCATCACAATCAAGACATAGAATGTTCTATCATCCCTCAAAATAAGTCCCCAACCTTAGCAACCATTAATGTGCTTTTCTTTAATCCTTATAAAGACAAGTTTTAATGTTTTCAAGTCTTGGCATCCCTTGGTAGAATACATTTTTTTCACTTCCAGATTGGTTTGTTTTGTGCAAAAACAATCTCTCATTCCTTTTTCATTCTCTTTCACACACACACACAAACACACACACACACCATCTAAACCCCAGGAGGGCAAGAAGCAAAATGGTTAGTAAAGAAATATTTAATCACTATTTTATATCAATAGAATCAATAAAAATTTTATTTTTATATTATGAGGTTATATAACAATGGAAAAATATAAGCTTTTGTTCCACTCAATGATACATATCAGAGATTCTGCCACCTCAATAAAGACCCACCTCATCATCTTCATCGCTGCTATAATCATATACACTTTAGGGAGATATTTTCTATCTTGCTAAGAGATCTTTATCATATAGTTTACATTTTTTAATTGATTTGATAATGAAAACTGAGAATTATATATCCTTTGGTAAAATGAATGTCTTCCCCTTTCATGAAGATACTCTGATAAACTGAAGGAGAAACTTTTGGGTTATAATTACCAGTTTATAATTACTGGAAGATAACTTCTTTGACTTATGATAATTAAACAGATGTAAGAAGCTCCTCACTTTAGTAAGATTAAGAAGAAGAGGGGCAATGATGTATGCAAATATGAATAGCTAATTCACAAAATATTTTTTAAAATACTAAATTTTAATTCTGATCTACAAACCAATTCTGTGAAGTACACACTGCCAAACAGTGTTAACGTGATAACACAGACAAATCATAATTTAAATAGCCAGCCCCAACCCCTCCAGATTCATATATCTAGTTGCCTGTTTAATATCTCCACTTGACTGCCTAACATGTGTTTCAAATGTATTGTTTCTCAAATGGGACTCTCAAGGTCTCTGCTCTAATTCCTAGTCTCTCTCATCTCTGTAATTAACTATTCACCTAGTTTCTCAGGGCAAACATCTTGGAGTCATCCTTAATCCTCCCTCTCTTTTTTTTTTAATTCTAAATGAGTTTATTTATCCACATATTCCTTTATGATCTATACTTAGGCATTGTCTAATAAGTTCTTCACTATAAAGTTACAAAATTATTCTCTTACATCATTCTTTAAATTTAGAAAGCATTTATTTATTTATTTATTTATTTATTTATTTATTTATTTATTTTTATTTAATTATTGTTCAAGTACAGTTTTGTCTTTTACTCCCATCCCAGCCCACCCCACCCAGTGCTCCCTACCTCCCTCCTATTTCACCCCCCTTAGTTCTTGTCCATGTGTCCTTTATACAAGTTCCTGTAGATCCTCCCCTTTTTCCCCTGCAATTCCCTCCCCTCTCCCCGCTGGTCCCTCTCAGCCTGCTCTCTATTTCAGTGTCTTTGGTTATATTTTGCTTGCTTATTGTTTTGTTGTTTAGCTTCCTGTTAAAGGTGAGATCATATGGTATTTGTCTTTCAATACCTGGCTTATTTCACTCAGCGTAATGCTTTCCAGTTCTATCCATGCTGCTGCAAAGGGTAGGAGCTCCTTCTTTCTTTCTGCTGCATAGAATTCCATTGTGTATATGTACCACAATTTTTTGATCCATTCATTTACTGACGGGCACCTAGGTTGCTTTCAGCTCTTGGCTATTGTAAATTGTGCTGCAATGAACATTGGGATGCATAGGTTCTTTTGGATTGGTATTTTAGGGTTCTTAAGATATAATCCCAGCAGTGGAATTGCTGGGCCAAAAGGCAGGTCCATTTTTAGTTTTCTGAGAAAATTCCATACTGTTTTCCATAATGGGTGTACCAGTCTCCAATCCCACCAACAGTGAACTAGGGTCCCCTTTTCCCCACAACGAAAGAAGTCTAAAAGAATACGCCTCCACCAAACCAGCTCTGCAAGAGATGCTAAAAGGTCTGCTTTAAGGAAGGTAAAGAGAGAGACAGAGAGGAACACAGGTATAAAAATTGCAATGACGAAGTACCTATCAATAATAACATTAAATGTAAATAGATTAAATGCTCTAATCAAAAGACATAGAATAGCTGAATGGATAAGAAAACATGACCTACATATGCTGCCTACAGGAGACCCACCTCAGAACAAAGGACCTACATGTGAAGGGCTGAAAACAAATTTTCCAAGCAAATGGACAAGAAAAAAAAGCCAGGGTAGCAATACTCATATCAGACAAAATAGACTTCAAAAAAAGGGCCATAAAGAGAGACCCAGAAGGTCACTTCATAATACTCAAGGGAAGAATCCTTTATGTCTTATAACAAATTCCATCAACTCAAAAAAGGTCCTTTATTCTACCACTTCTCAACACAATCATTGCTAACACTTCAAATCACCATCATCTCTTGCCTGGCTGCTGCAGCAACATTCTAACTCATCTCTGTTGGCACTCCTGGCCATCTTTTACCTTCAGTCTATTCTCAAAAAGAATCACAGCCAAGTGAGCATTTTAAAATACCCTTGTATGTCAGATCACCTCACACTTCTGTATACTGTATTTTGCCACATATAATGCACACTTTTTGCCCAAAGTTTTGAGGGAAAAGTAAGAATGAGCATTAAATATGGGTAGTGCTAAAAAGCATGAGAGTGCATTACACACAGCAAAATATGGTAAAACCCATGCAGAATAAGCAGCAAAATCCTACCTGGACATGACCTGGAGGCCAGACCTGGACATGATCTGGCCCCTGATCAGGGGTGTCAAGGGCTAGATCTGGACATGATCTGGCCCCTTTCTAACCTCATCCCCTACCACTCTTTCTGTCCAAACACCAAGTACACTTTATTTTCAAGCCTTTGTATCTGTTTGCTGTTCCCTTTCCTTGGAAAACTCCTCCTCCAGAAATGTCTCAGCCTCTCACTTTAGGCCTATGCTTAAATGTCAAAGCCTCACACAAAGACGTCTCCTCTGGCCACCCAATCTAAAATAGGCACCTTTCTCTTGTCCCTGTCCCTTTATATCCCTTTAGCCAAACATATTTTTCTTCATAGCACCTGTCACTATTGACATATATCATACCTCTTTGTATTCATTTCCTCTCTCCCACCCCAGAACATAATAATAATAGTAACAGCAGCAATAATAATAGTAGCGAAATAACCACTAAATGGTTACTAAGCACCAGGCAGTCTTCTAAATGCTTAAATGGCTTAATTCATTCAATCCTCACAACAACCCAAATGATTTAATATTATTATTATTCCCATTTTACAGATCAGAAAAGTGGAGCACATAGATGTTTCATAACATAGCCAAGGTCAAACAGCTAGTAAGTGGTAGAGCTGAAATTCACACCCTGGCAGGCAGTCCCCAGAAACTGTAACTGACCAAACCAGGGCTCATCCAGGTGGTGCCTTGATGCATGACCCAACACTTAGAATTAAAGAAGACAGATTTTTATTAAATCTGTTTATTGAACAGGGTTCCAACCTCGGGGGTTCTGAGAATACCACTGGCCAAAGCCCTGCTGTACCACGAGACCCAGCACTTCCCTTGCTCCCCACTGGGTATAGGCCAGAACCGTGCCCAGAAGTCCCCCACATCCTTATCTCTTCTTAAGCTGGCTGCGCAAGCAGGTCTCCATCCCCTCTGGAAGGTGCTCTTGTGGGTTCCAGAGTTGCCATCCTCTTGCAGTCACTCTTCCCTTCAGGATCTGGGGTAGGTTGTCCTCAGCGTCCATGTAATGGTTCAGGGAAACATGTGCCATGTTACTCTGGATCATGGTGGAGTCCAGGGAGGCACATGTCCCAAAGAGTGACTTCTCTATACATCCTTCATAGAAGCAGAAGTCTGCAGCTCTATAGCCCCAGTTCAGCTCCATCCACTCTCTCCTTAAACCCTTTCCTCTAGCCTGCATGGATGATACATCACTACAGACCGCATGGCACCTTCCTCCTTACTAGCGCAGGCTGCATAGCAGAAAAAACACCCTTCTGTACACCCTTTCAAACTCCGTGACTGCTTCCCACTTCTCTCAGCCCACCCTTATTTTAAATGCCCAGCCTTCACATCCAGTCCTTCCTATGATGTGCTACCTTTGCCAGTATCCCTGTATGTTTTACCTTCTTTTGGCTGCCATC